ACACACACACACACACACACACACACACACATATATATATATATATATACAAACGCACAGCTATCGATGATATATTATTAATATTATGATTATTATGCAGTTCTCCCTTTGCGATACAGTCTACACCACCGGCACTTAATAAACGGCTTCTCTCCCCAGCGGTGAGAACACCCCGACGCTGCTTGCTATAACCGATTCTCGCGATTCTGTTTGGTCTGCCCCATCACCTCTGACTTCTGTTTAAGTCCATCTCCTTCATCGTCGTCTTCGTCGTCCTCGTTAGGGTCACTCTCAGCTCGCTTGGTAAGGTCACTGTTTTCAAGGTCGTGGCTTTGACCGGGTGGCAGTCTGTTTTGGCTGTTGACCTCCTCAACGACAGCCAGGAAGTGACCTATGAACTTACGCCATGCTATCTCGTGCTGACTTGTGAACTTTGACCCCAGTTGTTGTCGTATAAACTCCACAAACATCGTCAGCATGTCCTGTGAGGAACAAGAATGTAGGGAAATGTCATTGTTGTTATAAACGTCTCTTATTTATTTATTTATCTATTTATTTTTTAAAGAGATTTGTGGCACTTGCAACACATTAGGATAAGGTCCAATAATAAGTGCCGAAGATTAGAGGTGTTACAAGAGAGAAACAAACACAAAAAGGAGGAGAATTGATCGAGACGATAGATGTTTGATAAGAAAGAAGGAGCAAACCACACCAGAACAACCTACAACAAGTACTCAGGGAAGTCCCAAATCCTGACAAAAAACAAATAAACCACACACAGAAACAACAAAGTCCCAAAGCAACTGGACGCTAAAGCAACGCCCTTCTTCTATGACAAAGAAACCTGGAAGAGTTTCCTCTGTGTTGGAAGAAAGGCATACTGAAGCATGTGTCTCTTCTTTATTGTAGTTTTTTTAACACCCCTATCGACACAATTCAAATAATTTTAGGAGTCGGAGTTCGGCCCTGCCTGCCTGGGCTAAACCAAGCTGAGAGGAGGATAACTTCCAAGGCGAAAGATGGCGATACTCCAAAAAAATAAAAATGACTATGAATGTCTCAGTTTCCGCAAATATGGGTTTATATTCTCATCGCAGTCATAACACAGCTGACTGAGACATTGCTCGTCTTTTTCTTATGTTTCGTTTTGCTTTCTTAGAAAACATTTTTTGTTAAGAGCTAACATAAGTTCACCACATTATGACTTAACTCTTTTTAAACAAAAGTGACGTGGCGTCGTGTGGGTTGCAGACAAGGTGGGGCATAATTGGAAAGTGAGCAAATGGGCAATAGGCTTACTATCTACTGTCAAAATAGTGATGAGCGGTTGGTCGGTGCTCTGGTGTGGTCTGTTCTTTCTAATGCTTAATCTATCGATATTTACAACTGTTTCTAGACGAAACCGCATAAAAGCTGCAATAAAGTGAAACAATACTAACAACTCACTATGCTCACAATCTGAAAAGATTTAAAGATTTTTAATGACTTCGTGCAGCACCAACAAGCAGACTCAATTTGAAGATTTACCTTGACAGGACTTGCTACACAATAGAGGGAGACAACAGTTTCGATACCCATTCTTCATTGAGTTACCGTAGACTCTAGTGTAATAGATAAGCCGGCGGAAACTTGGATCAAATTGTTTGCTGGCACCAAGAGGAGTTTCATGCACCTTTCTTCTTGTGCGGGAAGAACGATGCCTAGATTTCTCTACAGTGACAAAAATAACTTTGGTGCAAAGATTTTGCTTGCTCTCAGAAGACACTGCAGCAAGCGGTGCTACGAGCATAAACCAGCATCGCTGTCTGTCTCTTCCAGGTGACGGATCGCAAGGATGTAGTAATGTAGATCTAGAGCACTGACTGGTTTAGAAAGGCCAGGGTCAGGTGGAGCCAGTGGTGCAAGCTAAAAGTTTGATCTATGTTTCCGCGAGCCTACCTACTAAAACTCGAGTCTACGGTAACTCAATGAAGAATTAGTATCGAAACTGTTGTCTCCCTCTATTGTGTAGCAAGTCCTGGTGCTGCACGAAGTAATTAGAAATCTTCAAATCTCCTCATATTGTGCGCATAGTGAGTTGTTAGTACATGTATTGTTTCACTTTATTGCAGCTTTTATGCGATTTCATCTAGAAACAGTTGTAGATATCGATAGATGTAGATTACGGGATATCCTGCAGATTCTGATTGACTTTCTCTAGAAAAATCTTAATAGTAGCTACTAAACTACGCCTGTTGCCCATCTGCTCACTTTCCAATTGTGCACCATCTTGTCTGCAACCCACTCGACGCTACTGGGTGGAGCACTTGCATTAATTGCACCAATTTCGCCCCTTCACTGCAAAAGTGTAAAACAGAGTCCCTATGATTGGCTTTTTAGTACACGAAACAAACCCGTGTTTATGGCCTATTTATGACACGGAGCAAGACTATAATGACAGACTCTTTTACCTAATAACTAAGTGCCTAAAAATTAAAAGAATGACTCGAAATGGTAATTTTTCTCGAGTATCGCCATCGTTGTGCTAAAACTTTATGTCCCTTTCAGCTTGGTTTAGTCCTGGCAGGCAAAGTCGAAGCCCGACTCTAGAGTCACCTAAATTAATTTAAGCAACTGGGTTATGAACATGACGTCATACAAGATAGCAAAAGCAATCGCGTGTAGATACTGATCTAAAAAAACTGGCTGGTAGAATGATGAGGTCACAAAATACCGAAACAAAACAAAGCACGCGAGAAGATAATGTAATGGGGAGCGAAAGGGCAGAAGATATCCGGAGACGTCTCCGGCGAGCACCCAGCAACTATTCGGATGCACTGCTTTGGGGAGGGGGGAGGTGTCAAACTGCGTATTATTTGCTGCAGATCACACATTTAGCCACTAAAACTGTCACAAATCAATTATTTTCAAGAAAATGTCAAACTTAATTGCAAGATATCAAATTACGTGTTCAAACACGGGGCATGC